CAGTGAATTCAGAATAACAGGGGGTGGGGGGTTGGAATGGGGGTTTGACTGGTAAGAAGGGGTGTAAAAGGCTGTGTGCTCACTATCTCTGCCATTCTCCGCTCGGGTTCTGTTCTGGGTGGGCATGTCTCACCAACACATCATGTCTCACTGTTTGACCTCTCGTGTCTGAGCTCTCAGTAATTAAAGCACATGTTTACAGGCTGAGGAATTCAGACTAACTCCTTCCATGAGTAGAACATATGTCATGGGGAGCGTGATGTGGCTGGAATGGGTTATACACCAGGGAAATACAATATCGCTGTTTTAACATGAGTGGTCAACTTGTACATTATAATCCTGAAGACGCTGCAGTGCTCTGATTGCAGGTTTCACTCAGACTGATTATGGAAAGAAAATGCACCATTTTGTAGGGTCAACCCAGACGCTTTCCCCACTATCCGCTCCTCCTACCTCACAGACCAATGCCCACCACTGCCTACCTGCACTGACCTATCACCATCCCACCTACCTTCCCCAGCCTCTCTCATCCCCGCCTCCTTGACCTTCTCTCCCACCTATCTGCTCCTCCCACCTCACTGACCAATCCCCATCGCTGCCTACCTGCACTCGCCTATCACCATCCCACCTACCTTCCCCAGCCCTACCCCTCCTCTCTCTATTTATTTCAGAGCCCCCTTCCCCCTCCCCCATTTCTGAAGAAGGGCCCTGACCTGAAACGTCAGCTTTCCTGCTCCTCTGATGCTGCCTGGCCTGCTGTGTTCCTCCAGCTCCACCCTGTGTTATCACTTTCCACACTAGCTCCCTGTGTAACTATGGGTCTGATATGTTAACAAGAAGTGTAACTCACTAACTGCTGATGTGACGCACAAGCAGGTTCAGGAACAGCATCTTCCCATCGTTATCAGACTGATGGATGGACACCAGCCTCAAATAATGTAACCTGCAATGTAACCTGTATGTCTCTGTCTTTTTGAACATTACATCCTTTGCTTGCTGTGATCTGCCTGTACTGCTCGTAAACAAAGCTTTTCGCTGCATTTTATTACACGTGACGATAAAAGAAACAAATCAATCAATCAATCAATAATTAAATGTTTGAAATGCAGCAAGTTCTTAACATTATAGCAAATTCCAAATCTTCCTGACAGTGCTGCTTTCATGTCAAATGTCATTACAATGTCAGCGGGAGCTTGCTCTGAGTAAATTGGCTGTGCCCCATTCTCCTGATTATGATCGGAGTTCCATTTTACTTGCAGTCACCATGTTAACAGGTTCTGATAATTTGTTGAACAATTTGTTCCTGATTTACAACATCCGCAGTTCTTTCGGTTTTTATCTGATAATTTGTTCCTCATCCTATTCACGTGAATCGAGGAAAGTCCCGGAGAGATTAGTTGGACTGTTAAAATTCTAAATCTAAATTTAGCCTTTTATGACTGGTTTACTGCTTGGTGTTTATTTAAATGCTCCAGCGAAGTACCATGGGATATTTATTTATACAGTGAAGACCCAACCTAAGTACAAGATGTTGTTCTTGCGGGAGGATTCACAGCTGATTAGTGGGCAGCATGGTCACACAATGAAAGAAGTGTAATTGGTTTTGTTGACTTTCCCTTTGCCAGGGAGCAGGCGAGTAATGTTTGCATAGCTGAAGTCATTTGCAGCAGAGACAGAGATAGAAACCTGGGCAGCATTAATAACCCTGCTCTGGTTCAAACAGAAGGCGCACCATCACTGAGTAATTTCAATCATAACAGAAGCATGCACAAAGCTGGTGAATGTGGGCCAATGATTTCAGGAGATGTTCTGATGCTGGGACTCAGCACCAGGGATCTTTCTGAACATTGACTAAGTTGACAAATGGCAGGCTCCCTTCAGGACATGGCTCTCAATAAGCAGCAGGCAAGCTGAACCCCTCATATGCTGGTCCCAGGCTTTGTCTCATGCTGTAGGCTCTCAAAATACAGACCTTCAACATCCGCTCCATCTAACACTGTTGTCCTTCCGACAGCATCTTCCAAACCTGTGATCTTTACAACAGGTATGGACAAGGGCAGCAGGTGCATAGGAATACCGTTTGCAGCAACCTTCAGCCAGAAGTGCCGAGTGGATGATCCATCTCGGCCTCCTCCAGTGGTCCCCAGCATTACAGATACCAGCCTTCAGCCAATTCGATTCACTCCATGTGATATCAAGAAATGGTTGGAGACACTGGATACTGCAAAGGCTATGGGCCCTGACAACATTCCGGCAATAGTACTGAAGACTTGTGCTCCAGAACTTGCCGCTCCCCTAGCCAAGCTGTTCCAGTACAGTTACAACACTGGTATCTACCCGACAATGTGGAAAATTGCCCAGGTATTTCCTGTACATAAAAAGCAGGACAAATCCAACCCGGCCAATTACCGCCCCATCAGTCTCCTCTCGATCATCAGTAAAGTGATGGAAGGTGTCAGTAACGGAGCTATCAAGCAGAACCTGCTCAGCAATAACCTGCTCAGTGATGCCCAGTTTGGGTTCCGCCAGGGCCACTCAGCTCCTGACCTCATTCCAGCCTTGGTTCAAACATGGACATAAGAACTGAATTCCAGAGGTGAGGTGAGAGTGACAGTCCTTGATATCAAGGCTGCATTTGACCAAGTGTGGTATCAAGGAGCCCTAGCAAAATGGGAATCAATGGGTATCATAAGGTCAGAAGTGGGATGTTCACTGATGATTGCATAATGTTCACCAGCACGCATAAATCCTCAGATACTGAAACATCGATGTTCAAATGAAGCCCGACCTGGACAATATCACTACTTGGGCTGACAAGTGGAATTAATGTTTCATAGACTCATAGAGATATACAGCACAGAAGCAAACCCTTTGATCCAACTCATTAATTCCCACCAGATATCCTAAATTAATCTGGTCCCATTTGCCAGAATTTCCCTCTCAACCCTTCCTATCCAAATACCCATCCTGATGCCTTTTAAATGTTGTAATTGTACCAGCCTCCACCACTTCCTCTGGCAGCTCATTCCATACACGCACCACCCTATGTGTAAAAAAGTTGCCCCTCAGGTCCCTTTTAAATCTGTCCTATCTCACCTTAAACCTATGCCCCTCTAGTTTTGGACTCCCCCACCCTGGGGAAAAGACCTTGAGTATTCACCCTACCCATGCCCCTCATGATTCTATAATCTCCATAAAGTCACCCCTCAGCATCTGACCCTCTAGGGAAAATAGCCCCAGTCTATTCAGCCCCTCCCTATAGCTCAAACCCTCCAACCCTGGCAACATCCTTGTAAATCTTTTCTGAACCCTTTCAAGTTTCACAACATCCTTCCTATAGCAGGGAGACCAGAATTGAACGCAGTATTCCAAAAGTGGCCTAACCAATATCCTGTACGGCCACAACATGACCTCCC